ACTTGGGATATGTCTTGTCATACTGCAATTTGTTTTACTGGGAGTAGGGGCACTTGTTCATGAAGTTCAAATTTAGTGCTCAAGTGACAAGTCAAGACAATTAGAAGCTCCTATGTAGAGGTACTGCCAAATGAACACAACAGGAATTGTAGGTCTCTATTGGTTTTCCATCAATCTCTGTTGGTTTTCAGTGCTTAACCCTAGAAATGGAGGAAACTACCCAAGAGGATTCTGAGGTGTATTATGTCCCATGGAATCTGGGGAGCTGATTGTTCCATTGAACGCAGGGGATCTAGCAAAGCCCATATTTATAAAGGATGCAACTAAGATTTTTGGCACTAGGAACGCTGAGAATGTTGGTGTGCACTGAAGCGTCTGGGCAATCTAAGTGCTTCCGTCTTCTGTTACTGGAGACTCAGATGGAACTTCCACCAGAACATCTAGCAAGTCCCATCCACTGCTAAATACCACAGCAGTCCCCCCACCCCAAATCTCTCTGTATTTCAGGTTTCAGGAATTTAGCAGCAGCCTTAAAGGTAAAGGTAAAGGGACCCCTGACCATTAGGTCCAGTCGCGGGCGACTCTGGGGTTGCGGCGCTCATCTCGCTTTATTGGCCGAGGGAGCCAGTGTGCGGCTTCCGGGTCATGTGGCCAGCATGACTAAGCCGCTTCTGGCAAACCAGAGCAGCGCACGGAAACGCAGCGAAGCTCTAAAAGCTCCCATCAAGCAATTTCCAGTAAACTTAGCATGCAGCCTTTAAAGACCTCTCGTTATCTGCTTGTGTACTTCAAAAGTATAATACTATACACCTCTAGATGGCGTTGAGGCATAATATCTATCTGCCCACTGCTCCAGGCCTTGGGGCAGCTTTAGCATATGCTCAAGTTGCTAACTACAAAAAAGGAGGCTATCAGGGCACCTTTCGGACTCCAGTCCAACCGTACAAACTGTTTGCTTTTTTAATTGAGTTCCATGAAGAAACAAAAACTTGGGAGAAATACAATATCATGCCTATATATGCAGCTCCTCATTATTGTTTCTCAAACAACACACTGTCCTGACCCTTCTTTAGTCATGCATTCATTTTCAAATTATAAAGCCTTCTGAAGAGCATTCCCCATCATTCACACAAAATTAAACTTGACATTACAATGACCTGTGCCTGTTAACCATAGAGACCTCCACTGAATTCAGTGGAATTCTAGAAGAGCGCAAGAGAAGATTTGTCCACACAATGCAAGGGAATGAAGGCTGTATCTTCTTATGTCCTTTATATTTCTATTAAGCATGATTCTAACTGGCACTGGAACTAATGTCAAGTCCCTCTCAGAGACAGAATGCTTCATCACAACTTTCATTGCAGAGCTTAAGTACTCTACTGTGAAGGGGGCTTCAAACCATCACTCCCCCCCCCTTGCTTTTTTGAGTCACACTTAACAAAATTGGAATCTTGCTAGATAATCCCTACCTGGCCTCCCTGATTACATCGGCTGGTGATGACAGGTGCACTGACCTGCAGGTTTTCAGGCAGTTCAGTGACTGGCTGCTGCAGGAAAAGTGCCATTAGGAGGAAATAGAGCGCAGGCACATTCGTGTGCTTAGGAAGAAATGACTGAAGAACCGGAAAGCCTGGGAAATGACAAGCCTCCCGGTTAATTTCCCTGACAGTCGATCTGCCGCCAGCACTCCTGCCAACGTTGAAACCTGAGAGGGGGAAAGTAAAATTAAAAGCCAAAAAGCAACAACAGTGGGTCCTATTCGCAACATCAACGTAACGGATCAGAGCAGCGTTGTTAACACCTGTGTGTCACTAGTATCAACAATAAATAGGGTAGTCAGAGCAACAGGTTGCAAAAAAACCAGGCCAGCATTAATTCAATGGTTTAAAAAAACCAAGATGGACGCTTTTCTGCTGTTGCATTTTATTTGCCTGCCCTGTCAAAATGTTTGGGGATTGTGCAGAGGAATGAAATTACTCGTGTAATTACAACAGTTTTGTCTGGTATCTACTCCCATGCTTAATAAAAAAAATGTGTAAGAAACAAGAAAAAAAAAAGAAAAAAGCACAATTTTTGAAGCTTTCAAAATTACTTTCAGATTTGAGGGATGGTTAAAAATAATATCCTAATAAAGCTATTTTCTTTCTTCACCCCAAAAGATTTGGTCATAGTGTTGAAGTCTCATTTGGCCTCTTTACCCATGGAACAAAGCCATGCCACTGGGCAACAAAACTATCCTCATATTCCAGTTACCTCAATGCTCAAAACTGTTTGGTCACCTTCTCAGCAAGAGCATTATTCCAGGCACAGGATTGTATCCAAGTGAATTTTATTCACAACAGACCGACTAAAATTAATGGAACTAAGTTACCCATGTCTATTAGTTTTGATGGGTCTACTCCAAGTATGGCTAAAACTGGAAACAACCCATAAACCAGGCATAGGCAAACTCGGCCCTCCAGATGTTTTGGGACTACAACTCCCAATCATCCCTAGATAACAGGACCAGTGGTCAGGGATGATGGGAACTGTAGTCTCAAACATCTGGAGGACCGAGTTTGCCTATGCCTTCCATAGACCATCTTGCATCATCCATCCATCCTCCTTTCCTGCTGCTACCAATAAAAAGGTTTACATCTCTTTAAATGAGGGGGGGGGAACCCTACTGGATCCAAGGGCCAGATCTTTACCTGGCCCCATCCTGTGGGCCAACTTTTGACAGGTGGACAGGATAACCCACCTGACAATCAATATAGCATCTCATGCTATAGGTTGTCCTGCCCACCTGTCAAAATCCATTGTGCAGGGTTCCCAAGCACCAGCATTTTATTGGTTTGGATTTGTCAAAAATTATGAACATAGGAGAACTGAACACAGATGGGGTGGGGGCGGGAACCCAGAACAATACTACTGTTTTCAAACGCAGCCTACATCCAGGGAATAAGGTGATTCAATTTAAGGAGGAACTCTGAAATACCATTGTTTTAAGTACATGAAGAAGAAAAAAGTTGCCAGAAAAATGTAATAATAAATAACACTGGTACAAAATGCTTGTCGTTATTCTTCATAATCAAAAGGATTCTCCTATGAGAATACAAGACAGTGGCAGTGAAATAGGACCTAATTTATTTTAACATACATGATATTCTCATTTCCACATAGAACTCAAATTGGAATCCAATTTCACCTAAATTCCATAATCTCAATATCATAAAAAAAAGAGTTCACTATCTTTTGTTCTGTGCCCTCTACCTGTCATCCCTGATAAATAAGTTTCTCATATAAAAAGACATCGGGCATAAAGAATGTCATCTACCATTCAAGGTTTGTAATTTAATTATTTTGCTTCTGTTACAAAGATTCAAATGTTAGTATACTCTCTTGCTAAGTAATGGACTCTGCCCTAATCTAGAGACGCTCAATGTATTGTTCATCAGGTACAACTCAGGTTCATAGATGGTTTCTCAACTCTCTCCTCCAATTTTAAAGGTTTAGTCATCTCAGTACTTTCCAAATATTTTATTCTGGACCTATTCTTATATTACAGCAGCAGCTGCAATTGCTGTTCCAGTAACGTCAAGAGATAATTTGGGAAGTACGAACACGAAGATTGCTTGTGTACAGCAACCCACACGTCACCCTCCCCACACATGGGAGGAAGCTGGGACAAAATGGATTTGGATTCTAGCTTCAACGTTCATTGACAGGTGACTAAGGCTATACTCCTAAGTGCCCTTACTAGGGAGTAAACACCACTGAGTGGGACTTATTTCTGAGTAAACATACATAGCATTGCATTGGGAATGATCCTCCATATTCCTCAGATGTCACTGTGCTCCTATGCAGTACTGTTTCGCAGAAACCTCTGAGTTTGTCAGATTCACTGGGATGCTTTGTACCGTATTGGCCTGAATATAAGCCTCACTTTCCCCCCAAATTCCAACGGTGAAAAGTTAAAGTGCGGCTTATATCCGCGAATTTACGGTATGCAGCCAGGAGCACGGGGCAAACAGCGCCAGGAGCGTGGGGCAAACAGTGCCCACCCCACGCGTAGTCCCCTGTCATCTCCCCCAGGAAGGGAGAGAGCAAGGAAGGGGAAAGGCCACCAGCAACGCAGCACGGTATTTTTTCTCCCCAGCCTCTCCAATTTTAAAGGTGCAGCTTATATGCGGGCCAATACGGTATCTGATAATGTCACAAAGTAGTCAAGTCTATGATCTTGTACATGGCTGGAGTTGATTTACATGGGTGTTTTACAGCCATAATCACAGACAGACTAAAACTGTTTTGCCTTAATGAGCTATCTGTGAAATGAGCTCACCCATAAAGGTGTGAGCTCAAATCACCCACGCCTACAACCTTAGGCTAAGAGGAGTTCATTCCACAGGATGACCCATTCAGTCACAATGCTTTCTGAGTGCATGCCTCTAGAGACCATCTCACAGCTGTTAAGAATGCTACATTGAAACTGGCTTCCCTGGTACTAGATCAATTCTGTATTAGCCACAACATTCAAATAAAAAAATAAAAGTGGGGGTGGGGAGAAAAAGGGTTCAAAAACTAGGACGTTTTAAAATATTCATACCAAGCACCGTTCCAATCTTATTAGTCAACACAGAATCTGTTTGCTCAAGCCAGCCTCCACCAGTGAGGCCTTCTTTGAACTTGATGAGAATGGCTGGGTTGCTCAACAGGACCACCAGAATCCTCATGGCTGCTGTCACTGTGGTAGGGTGCAAGTGCTCTTCCATAAACAGCATAATCCAGTCAAACCCCAGGGTCCGGACCAGTTCTTCACAAGCCCTGAATAAAAAGTAGGGGGAATGCTACAGAATTAATGGACTAAAGCCAGACAAAATGGGCAAGCCTTATAGGATAAAAATGTTAGGTGCTTTTCATTCTGTTTGATATGTAACTTTAACTCTGTTTGCATTTTGCAAGGTTGAGCATACACAATTGAGAATGCGCTAACTCTCCTTAAGAGCATTCAGAATAATGTCTGCTGGATAGCTCAGTCGGTAGAGTATGAGACTCTTAATCTCAGGGTTGTGGGTTCAAGCCCCATGTTGGGCAAAAGATTCCTGCCTTGAATGCCCATGTTGGGCAAAAGATTCCTGCCTTGAATGGCTTTGAAGTAGATGACCCTTGCAGACCCTTCAAACTCTAATAGTCTTAGATAAGTTCCTATTCACTTTCCTGTGAAACAATTTTTCATAAATGGAAAATTTCCTTCAGTCTATAAAGCTATTTAATGAATGAGAATATATGAAGAACTGGTTCATCACTTCAGTTACTTTAAATAATCATCATCATCATCACCACTATTATTACTGCACCATGAACCAACCAACGGCCACACAGGGGAACTGAGAAGCATTTTTGGAGGGATGCTTCTCAACTGTGGAACTCAATTCCCCTGCAGGGTCACCCAAATTCCATTCCAGATGTCTTTGGAAGGGTGTCTTTATACAAATAGGCTGACCCCAAACTTTGGAACAGTGTGGCTCTGAAATAAATGAAATTGATAAATACATAAAAACCTGCAATCTCTTTAAATAAATGCCGTCAATAGATGGTTGCCTTATTAGCATTTCACTATTAATTGACCATCTACTTGCCCAATTCCAGGTGTACACAGCTGTGCACAGAAACATGCGGCGGTAATTCCACAAGCATAGATGTAGCCGCCATAATAATGACCGCAACTGCCCCCTGTCTTTGCTATGGCACAGGGGTGCAACACAATGCCAATTACAGGGATATGCTGAAAGCAGCTAACACCATCTGTGGAACTCTCAAGTAGAGCTTGACTAAGCCTTGTTTTTGTCCATTAAGGCGTTGTGGGTTCCTGACACAGTCACATTTTCTAGCAAAAGTTAGGCTATTTGTACTCACTGCAAGTTGACACTGTTTTTTTCTTTAGACGTATACACAAGCTTAAGCAGTATGTCCAGCAATCGGTTCCTCAGAAGGATAAGATTTGCAGAAACAAGACCTCCAAAGTCTTCTTCCGTTCCTAAAACACAAAATGCATAGTTAGCTTTGAAACACATCGGTGGAATGCTTCTTGCAAGTATTGTATCTTCTAAAATAACATCAGTTGCCATTAAGCCTCCTGCCCCTCAAAATATAACTGGTTTGTAAATAGTTTTCTGCTATTGTAACAAACAGTGTATGACTAAAACCTGCTTGAGCTGAAAATACGCTAGACTGCTGATTGAAAATAACAGTTGCAGGTTACAGAATGGCAGTCACCACAAACAGAAAAGGGGGAAATCGGCAGTAAATTCACTGTGATTGCACCCACAGTTAAGAACAAACTACGCCCAAATGAATTTCATGTAGCAAGAGTATGAATTAAAAATATTGTTACTAGTACACCATAAAATAGATTCCAAGCTCTGCAGGTGAGTGAAGATGAACCTACTAATCAAGACTGAAACATTTAACCAACTTGGATGGTGGGAAAATTGCCTAGGTAAGGAAAATATGACAAACACTTCAAATTAACCATTTTCTTTTCTTCAGTTTCTTTCTTCTACTCTATGTGCAGAAGCACTATAAAAGTTCCCATCATGTTTAGGGCAATAAATGGTGGAGGGAAAATACTTGGAATTTCTGAACTAAAGAGCAGAATGGTAGAGGGCCTAAAGTTAAGAGGATTTTAAAGCTCATAAAGGCTCTGTTTTGTTTTGTTTTCATTTCAGACTTCGTTACTTTTTCCTTTTCACACAAAGGGAAATGAAGGGGGGAAGAACTTCCAGCTGATGTTTAATGGTACAGTGTAGCCAAGAAATACAAGCTCTGCTACCTTTAAAGTATATGCTAGAAACTGTTTACTCCTGTTTTTCATGCAATTTGTGGTTCAGAACAATTGAAGAGCCGTGGTCCATGCAGGCCACCTGGAATTTCATTACTTTTCTTGTAGACTACACTTCAAAAAGTGCCAATGTAAACATTTCTTCCACTTCATTTCCATTTAGATGGCTTGAATGTTCAATTAAACCCAATTCCTTTTACATGAAAAGAAAACCAAAATCAATGAGACTAATCACTTTCAACTCTGCGTGGCCAAGTCCCACACACTTGGTCACAACCAACTGCTTTTACATGTAAATATCATAGAGGATCTATGGCAGGAGATTTAACATTTTAGGGCCATGCAGTAAGTTTTCTTTTACTTTTATTTCCGTGAAAAGGACTTTTCTCTTAACTTTCTGCACTTTTTGCAACACAAGCCAGTGGAATTTATTTCCATGCGAGCCTCTTTGACTTAAATGAGAGTTTCTTGGGTGCTGAAGTTTGTAGAGTGCAACCTTGGTAAATTATCTTTAAAAGGGCCATCCTAATTTAAAAGGTTATCTTTCTAGAGAGGAAAAGTGAAGGGACTGTAGCACTGAAAACAAAGAGATCATCATCCGTGGTAATGAGAAAACATGTCTCAAGTGATTTCTTCGGTTCCACTAGAACTGGAACTACTTACCAGGGTCAAGCTTTTCTTCATTGTTCATCTCCATGACTACAAATTTCTCACAGACTGCAAATGTAGGCAAAGTAGAAGAGATGAACTGCCCAAACCTTGGTGGATAAGAGGGGGAAAAACAGCATGCACTCCGTTTGACAGGTGGAGTTTAATTTGTCATTAATTAACATTGGCTGCAAAGCAACACTAAGCAGCAATTATTTTCTTTAAAATTCAGATCCTGACATTTATTAGGATTGAATAAAGTTGACTCAGTCACACATGCACGCACGCACGCACGCACACACACACACACACTCTGAAACAAATTGTCCTGGCTAACTCTCTCTCTCCATGTGTGCAAAATTACTATAAATAGGACATTTTGAAGCACAGGGAGGGGAAAGAACATCATCTTCAAGGTATTTTGAAATCGATTCTGGAAAGCCACTGTAAAAGATTATTAAATTTACCAAGCATGAAAAAAACTGTGTACATAAGGAATGTTTTATGTTCCCAGGCTGGTAGATTCAGAGCAACGGAAGATAAATGTAGCCTCACAGAGAAACATGCGATCTATATTTATTTATTTATTTATTGTAGAAAGAAGGAAATCAAAGGATAACTCTATTTGGTACCTGAGCAAGTCATTGCTGCTAGGGAATCCTTGAAGCAAATAGCTCAGTACGTTGCTAATAGCGGCAATAGTTGGCTGAGACAAAGACATATCTCGAAGTGTCAGCAGAAGTTTTGGGATAAGCTGGAACTCCCTCATCAGTTTTGCATTCTTTGCTGCTTCACTGAAATGAAAAGAACAGCTTAAATAATAAGCAATTCTCATTGATTTGAGTAGCCCACGCACTACGGCTCTTTTTTTTAAAAAAAAGAGATGGATCTAGCAATCCACTTGACTTATGTTCATACCATGTAACGAGAATATAATGTCAAACGTGGGAACATATTTTTCCCCATCTACTTCAATTAGTTTCTTTAACCTGGCTTTACATCAGATACATTCATTCCAAGGTTGCTTACAAACCCCCACACAAATAAATCGTAACCTCAGTCATCATGATAGATAAGAACATAGGTAAAATCGGTAGCAGCCAAGAATAAGAGCAAACAAAAACTACTTTATATAAACAGATTGGTTTGGAAATATCTTTGTCCACTCTTATTGTTTGCTGACCATCTTTGCTATTAACATACAAATGTATATGGGATGGTTAAAACAGCCAAATGCTGTTGAAGCAAGTAGGCCAACTGCTGTGGAAAAAAGCAGCTATGGGACTAGGCTGAATCTCCTTCCCAGGGGAAGTCTAAGTTTCTGACTACAGAAAAAGCCTAGTCTCTTGGGCTTGCCCACAAAATATCTGGTGACAGGACATGGGTCTAATGCAATCTTCCCTATCCCACTGCCAAATGTTCTGGAAAACCGCCAGCCAGCATGGCCAATGACATAAAAAACCACGACTTCATGTTTGCATTTTATATTGTAGTCTTCATAACTATCTAGATGGAACTTCCAATAGTTAAGACTAGGTGCTTAGCGTTCAATTCAGTCCAGCTCTCTTAACTCACTTGTCTGTCTTTCGGTATTTTTCCGCAAGTTCCACCTTTCCTTTCTTATTCTCCCATCATAATAAAAAACCTTTCAAATCATATCAAATCAAAATCATGACACAGCATTAAAGCAAGCAAAGGGGAGAGAGACTGGGAAGCAAAATCTGGATTGTACATAATGCTGTTTTGTTTACAAGACAAATTATATCAGACGTTACCTGGATTCAGTAAGAAGCTCAATGAAATGTTCGAATAAGGAAAGGTGAAGTTCATAGGGTGCATGCAGCCAGACCTGAAATACAAAATATACAGCTGATTTATAGCTGGCATGTGCTATTCTGCTTAGTAGAGTTATTCTAGACAACCAATATTAGGGTTAGCTATTGCTGTTTTTGTCCCAGGTGTTGCTTTTTCCCACTGGAAATAAATAGAGTCTAAATGAAGTTATCATAAACAATTATTCTTTTCTTTCCATACCAGATTGCAATTGTCAGACCACCAATCAAACAATAAAGCCCATGGATTAAACAAGTGAAAAACAAGTAAATTCATATTCTACTTGATCCGCAGGTATAAAAAGACAAGATTTAGCCTCTTCATCTTCCATTTATAAAAGATTGAGAATCTAACAGGGGAAGATTACAATCTGAAAACTAAACAACAAACAGCGCTAATACAGCGCATTCATCAATGCCGTAGAATGATCGACTTCCACCTGCCACATACAAGTGTGTGACTGTGACTTGGGTTTTACTTAACTATGATAAAAATTGACATTGTTATTAAGGAAGAGAACAAAAAGGGGGAAGTCTAATTAATCTGTTAAAAAATGAATCAGAATGAGATCGTGATAAGAAAATGATCATAGAAAAATACTAGTCATTTTCTCCATCTTGGTTATTTGCTTCTGTTATTGCTAAAGCCTTTGTTTGTGGCCTAGACACCTCTATTCTCAATAACTTAAAATCTCTTCTTCAAAGGCCGCTTCCTGCTAGCCTTCTGTCACTGCAAAAATAATCCCTTTCTCCTCTTGTTATGATCAGTGTGCA